TTCCAATTTTTGTTTATACAATAAGTTTATGGAGGAAAGAAGGCAGATCATTAAAAATAATTTAAAGCCTGCGGCTGAAGGATCAGTAAAATCTTTGCCTCCTGTGAGAAAGCGACAGAAAGCTTCTACTTCGGAAAGGACTCTTACCAGTAGACACAGGCCCAAAAGCATATTTTTTAAAATACAACTGGTAATATTATAGATGCCAGTTCTCCAAACTTCGAATTATTGGAATACCATATTGAAATGTGACAATAGTGTAAGTATACCCTAATTGGTCTCCTCATGCGTAGTAGACACTTACTCTCACCTTGAAAGTGACATCATTTGGTGATGTCATTTGACCTTGGTCTTGAAAGTCAGTTGTCACTCTATTTGAAAAAGAAAACCATTTTTCGTAAACAAACCAGGTGCTCTGCTGACCTCGAAATATGTTCCGCACATATGGTATCTAACAAGGAAAAAGATTCAACAATTGAAGGCCATCTCTTACTCTTTTACTTTAAAAAAAAAAAAAATTAAAAAAGAAAACAGTCTTTTTTGACGTCATTTGGCCTTGCTCTTATAGGCGGCAAGTGTTATTCCATTTTACAAAGAAATATTTTTCACAAAGAAAGTATTCCGCACACATGGCATCCAATAAGGAGAAAAAATCCACAATTGAAGGCCATCTATTACTCGCCCTTGAAAAGTCAGGTGTCTTTTACAAAAAAAAATCAATAAAGTAGTGTCTTTAAACAAAGGAAGCCATCTCTTTTGTGGAGCAGATAAGTGGTATAGATCCGTATTCACAACCATTGAAACTTTAGTTCAAGTGGTGAGAAAATCACATACACAAATCCTTGAAGGTCACGTCATTTGGTTGGCCTTGTGAAAAACCTAAACTATATCCATGGAACCAAAAAAGCGGGCCAAAACACTTTCCGTGCGTGATCGAAGCATGATCGGCACGTGGCTTTGCATCTATTAGTAAGAGATTATAGACTTTTTGATTTCTCCTCCCCATTTCGCAGGTGTTCGGTAATTTGATACCCCACATGTCATTTGATGTCGCAGCTGCATCACACATGTGGTTTGGTATTCTGGAGTAAAAGAGGTGCGTTATACACGTGCTTTTGAAAATGAGACTTAAACGATGTGTAATTTGATACAGTAAACACAAGCACATGTGGGCGATCTATCGCAGCGCCATCATACCAACATGTGGTTTGCTGTTCTAGAGTAAACCAGTGATTTGCAGGTGCATTCAACATGTGTTTTTTTTTAAATGAGTGTCAAACTATGTGTATTTTGATACCATAAAAATACATGTAGATGAATTAAAAGCACACACACTCATGGTAGATACCTGCATTATCGAAAATAATTAACTAATGATATTTGTGTTTTGAAAACTACCCCTCCCACCATACATATTTTTTTTGATACCTATATAAGTTGAATTGATCGTGAAAATGCTCAACATAATCAGTGAAGAAGTTGTGTCGAGTGTTCTGATATTTCTGTAGCTGAATTTCTGTGTCTGTTTTTTTTATAAACAAGGTATTTTTTAAATTTTTGTAATTTTTCATAAAACAATGTCTATTTCTAACGATACAATTGAAAAAATCAATAATTTGTTCAACATGCAGGTAGAACATATATATTTTTCTTCATTAAATATTGGAAAACAATATTTAATTAAGAAAATGCAAATTTTAAATGGTCGTTACGGAAAGACAATTTTTGTGACATTGTTAGATAATGACAATGGAACACTTTTAAGTAGTTATCTACCAAAACGTTGTGTCGAATATCTTACTGAACAAAATATTGAAAATTTCAATAACCCAATGAATAAATATTCAATAACCTATTTGGGTCAAAGCCCAATAAGTGATGCTGTTGGGGTTAAAACGCGAGCTCTTTTGAGAATCGATGTGGTAGAATAATTTCTTTTTTCAGTTCATAGTAAATACCCAATATTTTTTTTAAATTCACGTTTCAATAATATATGCTACATGAATATCAGAATTTACTAACGCAATTATTCCTGTTTCAGAAGTACATACCTATTACTAACCAAAAAATACAATATGAACATTCAATCAAGTAATCAAAATCAGATTTCCCACATCACGAGCTTAGTGATCGAACTACGACGCATGGAAGAAGATATTTTGGCATATTTCGATCGAACGTTGGCTGGAGTAAATGGCGAAAGTTATGTGAAATATCTCAAAAATGCATTCAACTTTTCCATGGGTGCACATATTTGCGAAAAGTTTTTATATGGAGCTGTTGAGTTGGACGTATTTGTTGACGAAATGCTTGCCGAGGATCTCAAGGATTTTGTTCGTAAAAGAGATAGCCGCAAAGTATCATCTTTATGAAAATTCCGAAGCAGAAGTTCAAGATTAAAGAAATTTAGCTGGATTGCTCTGTTTTATAATAATATGTAATATTTTGTAAATATACCTAAGTATATAATAGTTATTGGGTATCATTGTATTTTTAGTTTTAAGTTGAATATTGTGTAAAGTAACTTGTAATAAATATTTTAAAATTGATTTTTGTGGTTTTGCTTAAGTTGAGTACGTTACGTATATTATTTGATGAATTTATTCAGAAAAAGTATCTTAGGTGAATGAAGTAAATTGATTAAAAGTACATTTCAGTGTTTGACTTTATTTATACCTAGCTGTTATACGATTGTATTTCAATAACTTATAAATGAAAAGAGTTTAGGTTTTATTCGACTAGTTTGTTAAAATGAGCGCAGCAAATAGGACGATTGATAAATTTGGCTGCCGGCTTAATAAGTTGTATTATGATCAGTCAACTCGAGGTTTAGCTGGGGTTGGTTTTAAGCTGACTTCAAATGGTCAATATGATTTAGAAAAAAAGCGCTTAACAAATCTAACCAACCCAGAAAATAATACTAATATAGCAACGAAACAGTACGTAGACATGGTATTTAATGAGTTAAAACGAACATTTTCTGACGTATCGAATGAAGAATTGATTGAGTTCATTAAGAAGTTTGCGCATAAGGAAGTATTGGATATGGTTCGCAAGAGAAGTTATGATCAGAAACAGGCCGTTCAGGATGCTGAAAAATGTAGAGAAATTTTCAAATCGACGAAGAAATCGCTAATTCGACTAGAAATCAGAGTTAGAGATTCATATCGCTAATTCGACTAGAAATCAGAGCTAGAGATTCATTAATACGTATATAATGTCGGTATATAAAGTCTGAGGTACCAGTATGCTGAAAAAATGAGTCTACAACACAACACTATCGATAAATTCGGTCGTCGATCACATAGAGCAAAAATTCAAGTTCGCGGTTCACCAGGGATTGGATTTAAACTCGATTCCAATGGCGACTTTGACATACAAAGAAAATCCTTAACTAATGTATCGGAACCTAAAAACGCAGCAGATGCTTCAACCAAGCTATATGTTGATAATCAAGCTATGGAATTACGACGAACGTTTGCAAATACTGTTAATAAGGATATCGAAAATCTAATGACGATTTTTATCAAAGAGGAAATAGACCGAGCCATGCCTCAGCAAACCCCAGAACTGAAAGAGGCAATTTTCGACCGCAAAAAATGTATGATAGGTCTTGCAGTGATAGAAACACGAGTTAGTCAATTAGAACAGAGATTTTTTCCAAACACAAATAAAAATAACTAGATATTATATACTGTATACTGCATATTATTCATGTATCACAGAATATTAATTATTATAATAAAAGATATTTATAGTTCAATCAAATAATTTTATTTCATTTGCAATTACATATTTTAATTTAAACAATGTCTGTTGTATTAATCCACGAATTGTGTTCATCTGAGAAACCTAGCCATTTAACATACATTTGATCTATTGAATTTTTTCTTCGTTTTCGAATAATTTTTTCAACTAGGTAGGTATCTGGATTATGGGTCTGTTGAAGTTCGGGCCCATAAAAACATCCTTCAATGGGTTGACCATCGATCGACTCCAATAAATATGTCGGAGGGCTCGTGATTTTCACTTTGACAATCCTAAACAATTCAGTTGACCAATTTGGAGTGTATCCTTTTTCAAAAACGCTCTTATATTTACTGATTCGAACCACATCCCCAATTCGATATTTGAAAGTTTTTCTCGCTACTTTCAAATTATCGTATACATTTAATCGTGTTTTCGGTGTGACGTCAACTGGCTTCATTCCAATTGTTCCATGAACTGCGTGATTATATGCGTTTGTAATTCGCTGCAAAAGATTTGTCCAATTGTATGAGCCTCTAGCAGAAAATTCCTTATATAATCGGGATTTTAAAGTTCTAATAACTCTTTCTACTATAGCAGCTTTTTTTGTACTGAATGTAGAATAATGGTTGATTCTATATTTTTTTAAAAGCGCTTCCATTTGTCGGTTCCAGAATTCACTCCCTTTGTCCGAATTCAAATGTTTGGGAGTATAATTAGCAGCTTTGATTATCTTTTTCATTGCATTACAAACTTCAACTGCTGTTTTAGATTTAATTGGTTCAGTATAAACAAATTTCGAATAACAGTTTATGCAAACCAATATATAGCGATAACCATTATTGTCATTAGCATATTTTTGGAAATCTGCAAGATCTATTTGCCAGGAATCCATATAATTTTTTACTATGGTTCGACGTCGTCTGAAGTTTTTTCTCACGCCTTTGTGCAGTTCGTTAACTATTTCCCATTTTGTAGTAGAAGGTTCCATCGTGAACAATGTCTTAATTCCTACTAATCATAAAGTCTATAACAATATTCTCAATAAATAATCCCCTCTTCTCTGAGTTCTTCTAAAATAGATACAATTTCATTATCGTGTCCTGTATTACCGGCACTTTTCGATGCAAACAAAAGCCTTAAGCGACTTATCAACTCTTCAGGAGTGTTCCAATGGACATAATCAACTCGTCGAGATGGTTGTATTTTTTTGAGAGTCATTCCATTGTATTCATTCAATTTCATTCCCATACCTTCTGATTTAGTGAGCAAAGGTTTGATTAGATTAATGAATTTCTCACTTCTGGTTGACCGCAAAGCTTTTTTTGGGTTATAATCTAAATGTGCTGCACTGGTTAGTTTTAACATCTGCGTGTATCGCTTCAAATTTTCGAGAGATATGTCCTCCATATATTTGAGCTGTGGAGGATCCTTAAGAAAAAGTAGATTGTATAAATCATCATTTCCTTCGAAAACGCCAATATTTTTATTATTTTTTCTTAATATGATATTTCCAGAAGCGAAACTGATTTCGGAATGTCCGAGATATAAGTTATATTTGTCAATGCCAGTAGCAATACGAACACCGTAAACTGTGTCGTATTTTGTGGGGTTTGCATGTAAGTCGTAAACATAGCTTTCAGGTAACGAAACGTTTGAGAATTTTGTCTCGGCACCCGTAAATTCCGATGGGTCTTGCTTAATTGTACTTTTTATTTGCTGGAAATTTGGTTGTTGTTTTCGATCCGTCATTTCTGCTTTGATTGATTTCGATAAAAGATTAATTGGTTCTAGAACGGGTCCATACATTTTTTCCAAACTTGAATATTCATTTTTTTGAATGTTTTTGATGGCGTTGAATTTTTTTCTGACAGAATCAGTTGCTTCTATTAATTTTCGCTTCAAACTAGTGTCTTCACTCATGGTGCTCGTCGCGTATCGGCTGTCTGAACAATGGTGTAGGAAATTATTATTCTAGTGATATATACGTATCAAATCCTCTACGATATCTTCCAGAATTCACATCACTGTCTTTATCGATCACAAGAAATCCGTATCGATTATTCCAGCATTTAGCGCACATTTCTAGAAAATCTTGAAAATTCATGTCCGGCGAAACATGATCGGAAAATATGTGCTTGAGGTTCATCTCGTCTTGTTTAAATAATATAATGAAATTGGCATTGTCACGTACCAACTGTTTTGGTATTCTAGAATATGTTTGAGCTAGATAAAATGAGTCTACATTCTTATGCCGACCCATGCTGAAATAGGATCTAATTACGTCCTGCTTTTCGCACATTACGTCATCGAAAATAAAAATAGAGTTGGTTTTAGCTTCTGATGGTTCCATTATATTGTTTGTATCACAAAAAGTATGGAATCCTAAACCATCGATGGATTTCATTATTTGTCGCAAATATTCATATTTTGGTTGATATAGGGATTTTGAATATATGTAAATATTTTCGAAACGTAGCCCAAAAGGATGTGTGAGCAGAGAAATCATCACATTTGTTTTCCCACAATTCGATGGTCCAATTATGAGCCCTCTAATTGAATTTGGTAAAAGATCACCGTGATGGCGCCTTATCGAATCACTTTTTAAACTACCGCCAATTCTAATGTCTAAATTTTCAACGTCTAATTTATTCGGGAGCTGTATAAATTTCATAATTGCTATAATAATCCCACAAAATTTGGATTTATTAAAACAAGTTTTCACGACTTTGCGATTAGTCTGATGTCACCACTCATGCGAGGTGTACGTTCTAAAAGGCAAATAAAAACTGGTAAAGGCTTTTTAAACTCTGCGATAGATAAGCTACCAGTTGAAGTTCATATTCCGTTTTATCAATATTGTGGCCCAGGAACACGTTTGAAGAAAAGATTGCTTCGCGGTGACCCAGGTATTAATCCGTTGGACGTTGCATGCAAAAAACACGATATTGCATATTCAAATTATCGCGATTTAGACAAACGCCATCTTGCCGATAACGAACTTGAACACAGTGCTTGGAAGAGAGTCATAGATAAAAATTCAAGTGTTGGTGAAAAGCTATCGGCTTTACTTGTCACAAACATAATGAAAGCAAAACAACGGTTTGGGATGGGACTTACACCCACAACATCATCCAAGTTGAAAAGAAAATCTAATAAGAGGAAAAATAGGAAAATCAAGAAATCGTCTAAAGCAGTATTTGGGTCAGCCATTCTGAGAAAACTTAAAAACGAGCTGAAAAAGAGTGGTGCAACAAAAAACACCCATAATAATTTACGTAATTCTATAAATGTTGGCTTGCTTGCAGCTCGAAAATTGGTTAAGTCTTTGGGAGGCAGGAAAAAAATCAAAATACCTAGAATCATTCCAATACCTAAAATAGGTGGTGTTTTACCGTTAATTCCAATCTTTGCAGGATTAAGCGCAATTGGGAGTCTGATTGGTGGGGCTGCAGGAGTTGTCAAGGCTATAAATGCGGTAAAAAATCCAAAAAATGGTAGTGGAATTGTATTGAAGTCAAAAAGAAGAGGATTGTTTCTAAAACCATATCGTACAGGCTTAGGATTGTTCATTGGAAATTCAAAAAACTAGATATTAGTTCCCTACCGCAACGGCCATTATCGAACATCGATTTGGAAAATTATGCATACGAAACCAGAATTCCATATTTTAAAGGTGTGTACATGCGTGATACTCTTCCATTTAGTGGACCATCAAAAAATTAATCAGGTATTCTTAATTTGGACATTTCTACCGGAAGCGGGACGCATTGGGTAGCGTATAAAAAAAGAGGTAGAAAAGCGATTTATTATGATAGCTTTGGTGATCTGCCGCCGCCTAAAGAATTGATAAATTATTTGAATAGAGGTCGTAATTCAATTGAAGAAATGCATTATACATATAATAAACAACAGACATATGGTACGATCGTATGCGGGCATCTATGTCTAAATTTTCTTCGTTCGCAGTAGTGGAACGTATCTATGTAGTTTATTCAGAAAAAAAAACAAAAAAAGAAATGTCTATGTCTGTAACACATTGAGTCGATATTATTTATGATTCAAACTACAAGAACACATAAATTTAAACTGTCTGTTTAGTGTTAAAGAATCCAAACATATGGCCCCAAAAAAAAACAAGTTTAAAAGTACCTAGAAAAATATCTCCGAAATTGATATTTTTACGACGATTCAATAGACAACTGATGGGTTGACAAATGAGAACCGTAGATAATACCATCGAAAATCTTGGTAATAGGTTTGAAAACATGTGGTTCCCATAAACATAAAAGCAAATCCAAAGTAAATAAACTAGCAGACAAAAAAAGAATAAAACATCCGTTTTGCAGATGAGTGTGATAAATTTTAAACAACCAAGAACCCATTAGTTCAAAAAAGAAACCATTGATAAATTGCCGCCAAAATCGAAACAAAGCTCACTCATATTCATTATGCCATTTTTTACAAAAAAAAACCCTATCTGAATAAATTTGGGACAATACTTAGTCTAGTATTGGCATTCAAAGAAAGAGTTTGTTTGAAATAATTGTTGCGTACTAATTTAGTTTAAACGTTTTAACAATGAAACAAACAAATGTTTACACATATTTGAAAATTTTTCAAGAAGCTAATACTTTCACGAGACTCGATAGAGAAGAGTTGAAAAATATTCCGCGGGAAATTCTACTGGCTTGCGCATCAAATGAAATTGCAATTTTATGGGATAAATTGCCAAGTAGGTTGAAAAAAGACGCTGAAATAATGAAATTTCAATTTTGTGCAGATCATCACGAACTGGCTAGTGGAACAGATATCATAGATGGTCCACCTCCCAGGAGATTATTCTGCTGCTATTGTAATATAAAGGATATAAATGTTCAAGCTGAAATTTCGAGTAAAAAAGAAACAAACCAAATCGTGGAAGAACCTAATCGTATAACTTATAATAACTGCTGCGAGATACAATAAAAACCAATCACCGTTTAGTACATGTCACAGTCATGTCTTGCACTTTGACGCTGAGTGGACAATCAAGTGAATTAGTATGTGATTTTTATCCACCAATATATCTAAACAAAGATTCGGATTATGGTCTAGCATTAATTGGTTTCTATACATACAACTCAATCTTCAATGTCGATGAGAAGAACAATTGCTTTTTATACATGAAATCAAACACATTCGAGAATATATATATCCCACCAGGTGCATATGAAATTTCAGATCTCAATCATATCATCAAAACAGTCCTAAAAGCATCATCCAATAATACAGATGAAAACATATTTTGTTTAAATGCAAACAACAATACATTGAATTGTGAATTAACGTGTGTGTATGACATCAATTTTAATTGTGAAAATTCGATAGCGAATCTTATTGGATTTGAAAATAAAACATATGCTAAGAAAAATAAGCACATATCAACTGTTCCGGTTGATATAATGAAAACACGAATTATTCAATTGGACTCGAATATAACTGGAGGAGCGTATTCAAATTCATTTGCGTGTCATACCATTTTTGAATTTGACATCGATGTTGAACCAGGCTATAAACTCACAAAAGAACCTACAAATATTATATATCTACCTGTTATACCAAATAAGCGTCAGTATATCGATAATCTCACGATTCGCATATTAGATGACAACGGTGATCTCATCAATTTTCGAGGTGAAAAAATCATAGTTAAACTGGAGTTGCGGAAATTGACTTGAAAACCAGCAGCATGGCATTTTGTTTTAATCGTAACAGTGAAAATTTGAAAAAATATGCCAAAATACACAATAAAAGGAGATCCACTTGCACACCCCAGGTCATTCGCAATCCGAATATAAAGAAGAGACGACTGCATTGTCTTAGTAAAAAAGACTTTTTGTTCCTAGAATCTTTGGGTTTGAAAGTTAAAACATAATGATGGCGTCAAACGTAAAAATTGAAGTTTTTGATGAACCAATTCAAGATAATTCCATAGTCAGTTTACAAGAACATTCATATAAACCATATGGATCACCATCATTCAATAATTCCGACGAGATTAGAATTCCGGTCAATTTTCAAGATCTAATTTTGGATATCTCTGAGAGTTTCATCTATATTGAAGGAGTATTCAAACGTAGCGATCTCACCAAACCATGTTATTTGTCAAATAATGCACTTGCTTTTTTATTTGATGAGATTCGTTATGAAATTGGTGCAGAACCAGTTGCAATCGTTCGAAAACCCGGCATTACCACTACGTTAAAATCGATGGTGTCTTTTGGACCTGCACATCAAAACGCTCTACATTCTTCTGGTTGGGGATTGAGCGAGAAAAACCAATTTATTCTAGATACCAAAAGTAATGTATTTTCTGGAAAATTACCTCTGAAATATCTCATGGGTTTTGCAGAAGATTACAGCAAAGCAATATTCAATATCAAACAGGAATTGATACTCATTATAGCTCGAACATTTAATAATTGTTTCATAAGTGAGATCGATGCTAGTATCTCAATAAATAAAATTGAATGGCGCATCCGTCATGTAATTCCTGAGGACAAACAAAAGCTCAGAATCTTGTCACGAATCAACAAAGGTGGCAATTACGCAAAAGTACAGATGGCATATCGAACATGGGATTTATACGAATTACCTAGTTTCCGAGAAACTCAAAGCGACGTATGGACAGTGAGAACTGCGACAAGTCTGGAAAGACCTCGATACATAATTATCGGTTTCCAACCTATTGAAAATTGCGACAAAATCAACAAGAACGCGACGCAATTTATATCAGCTGATTTGTGTGACATAAGGTTATTTTTAAATTCCACTGTTTATCCATATGAGAGATGGAATTTGGATTTTTCAAAGAAATTAATTGGATCCGCTTATTATGGTTACGAAACTTTTCAGGCCTGTTATTATGGTAAAAACTTTAA